CGCGTGACTTTCAAATGATTTGTTTTTATTCCTATCCTGAATTTGTTGTGGGAGGTTTTTTCCTTCAAAGTGCAAGTAATTTTTTCAATTTTTCTTTTAGGACTATTCTACAATGAACTACTCTTGGATACTGTAATCTAAATACATATGAAGACGAAGAAGTGGCATTTATCGGGCAGAGAATCGGCGAGTCATTAAAATGGCGGCATATGGACGAAATATCGAAGGACACAATATCGAAGATAAAATACACTGCACTGCTCCAAAACTTGCCGAAACTTGGTTGAAATCTTCTTTAGCCATTTGCCATTATGTAAAAGTACAACAACTGGATGTTATTTGCGAGACACGGCGATATAAAGCAAACAAGACGGCAAAATATGGCTGAAATCGTGTTTTCGTGGGGGGTAAGTGAAATAAAATATATTATATTTATAGAAAACAGCGGCTATCCTTATGAAAACTACAATAATTATATTAAATTAAGCATATTTTTTCATCCCATCATACTTTTTTTAGGAAAGAAGGATATTTAATATCTGCCATGTATATTAGTTATTTTCTGCATTATTAGCAATTTAGCTGGGGTGATGAATGGTCATTTTCTTGTAAAATATTATACTTAAACAAATTTTTCCTTCCAATAACCACCCCTAAAAACAACCCTTCTAAACACTATAAGCACTTCAGAAAGGCTGTCGCTTTTGCTTTTCGGAAGTTAGAGCTATGTCGGCACTGCCGTTTCAGGGCGGGGTCATTTTCAGGACTTTCGTCCCGGATTCAGGTTTTGGCACATATGCCATGTTGACCGCCATGGTCATTTTACCCTAAAACTGTTGAGATCACCTGTGGTAAATGAAACGCATACAAACTCATATACAGGTCCTAGACTAAACCCAAAACTACGGTAGAATCTCAACATGCTGTCTCAATCTCACTGTTACTGCGCATGTCCGCTACAGGTAGCCCATACCTTACATATACTTTTCCCAACATTAATTAATGTTAATTCTTCAGTAAACATTCTACAATACTGTACAATAATCAGTATTGAATAAATTCAACAGAGTCTGCCAGAAAACTGATTAATCGGTGGCGCTGCTCTTTTAGGGATTGTTAACACGAGATATTACGTACAGACAAGAAAAACTGATTGTATTTTTTGCACACTGAGTAAGGGCTGAAAATAAATAGAAAGACGTAAGAAAAATTAACAGAATAAAGTAAGTAAAATTGTTCTAAATTATACTATGATATAAATGCAAAATATTTACTACCTAAGTACATTTCAACAGATGCCTATACAGTTTGTAGTTAACATGCATGAAAAGAAACAATAATTATCTGAAACAGTTGACAATCAAAGTTCTCTGAGTAAGATTTCATGATTGATAAACATGCACTTCTCGAATTTGCTGGCAAGAAATGATAGATGATATTGTCGGCCTGGTTTCCTGTGCCCTGAAGCAAGTTCGGGAAGTGTCAATAGTCATACCAACAATGGTGGAATTCGAATATCTACTGATCTGCACTAAAAATGGAGTCGAGAGTAAGAGATTACTGGGGAAAGCTACTGAAAAGCTCTGCAGCCTATCATAATTGATATATTTGCTGCTTGACATGCTTCAGTACCAAAATAAAGTATAGTTTTCTGGCAATTTTAAATTTTAAGGTTGTGAAAGAAAACGAGACATTAACACTATAGATTTGGTCGCTGAGAGTGACGTATTTTTGCTATCATTGTTTAACTGGCCGCGTGGCCGGTTTATTTTATCTACCAATAAATGCTATCCAATCATCCTGTTAGATCAGTAGATATATTAATTATTACGATTTACTTCAGTCTATACTATATAGTTTAATTGCTAATAAAAATATCAATAAAACAATTATAAAATGTGTGTCTTATTCAATTGCACGAATCTTTCATATGCCAGAATCTTTCAAAGGCAGAACTTCAACATCAGCAGCGGCTTTGAAATCTTTCACCTGTGTTGTATCCACATCAACAAGTAAGGTACGCTTTCCTGGCTTCCGGGGTGTAAATTTGAACTTCGCAGTCTGTGTTTTATCATAGTGAAGGCTTTTTCTAAAAGTGGAAATATTATCTAATGATCATTTCAAACAATTAATTAAAACAGTGTTAAATCCTTCGAATATTTTTTACAAATCTTTCAATATTTACCTAGGCAAAATTCCTACAGTATAAGGACCGAAACTTTGACAGAGCAAACCAGCCTTTATAGTTACAGTTCGTTGAGATATATAGCCCAGTTCTCATAGTCGGGTTTTGAAATATTAGTTGAAATAGTATGGGAAAATCCACGGAAAATGGGTTCAAGTTAAGATAAGCACGTTCGACTGTGGTGGGGTTCTATGTAGCAACGTGCAGACCGAAACCTTATATAGAAACGTGCAATAAATTCTATACGTGAATAGTTGGGAGAAATTAGCAAATAGTAGGGCACACTGGATAAAAAGGGTAGTAGGGTCGAGGGAACAGCACAGTAAAGAAAAGTTTACGGCACAAGGACCCAGACAAAGCAACTGCATGGCGCTTGTTTTCGGCGCAGGGCTGGTGGTCGGCCTTGTGCTAACCAAGCGGGGCTTATTGACCATGGTCGATTTAATGCACAACGCTAATGACTTATAATGGACCAATAAAGCTTTAATACGAAAACGAATCAGCATCCACCATTCGTTATAGTTTCAAGTTGAGATAGGCGTGAAACAAATATCGCCCTCGTATATATAAAACATCTCAGAGAAATTACAGTATTGAACATTCCCAAAATTTTCTTCCGAAATGAAATCGAGGTACTCTAATTTATTTTTAGTTTTAGTCCTCCTCTTGCTGGCTTTCAAAACCCAAGGAACTCAAACGAGATTTTAATTTGGTTTACACTGTATTTTAAGACACCAATAGCATAACTTAAACTACCTTACCTGTACGTTTTTGTATCCAAGTATGCTAACCCTGCTCCTTCGATACTGATTTTGATGTAAGACAACCTTATTGGTAGAGGGTTTGTGAACGAGACTTCAACTTCGGTCTCTTCTCCAACTTGAAGAGGCGACTTGTTAAACTACATAACCAAATTAACGGGCAATTTTTTAGCACTTACAGATATCATAATTGGATGATCATTTATATATTTGGTATATTCATTGAAGTAATTACAAGTTGTATTTTGAAGAAATAGAGGCTGATGCGCTGTCAGGATGAAAATATATTAATAAACAGACACTCTCTGGCCAAACATATTATCACTGAACTCAACAACTTAACAACGACAACGCCACAGTAATGAAACGACAACGACCACAAGGGCACTGCATGCATACAGTTTTGGTTAATCCTCTTTGTTTACTGAAAACCTTCAGCATGTGTTTGGAAACACGATTTATTGATGGCATGTTATAACACAGTGACGCAACATTTAGGTAACACTGACTGACCTTGATTTGAATGGAATCCTGGTTGAACAGTTGAAACTTGGTTTCATCAACATAAAATTTCTTGTTCTCCAAAACTTTAGCAATAGAAATGAACTTTAGACAATTAAGATCTGTTAGATTTTCGATGTACTCATCCGGTTCCAACTTTATTTCCTTTACTACAGCTAAAAAGGAAAGGAGGAGAAATAGCTATACATCACAGAATACTATTACCGAATGATCGATCGAGCAGATGGTGATGTGAGTTATTTCCAGTAGTAAGGCTGAATTAAAGGGCATGCAACAATTAATTAAGCAAGTTCCGATCATTGACAAAATGTCTGAGAGCCTCCAAGTATTATTTCAAAATCATACACTGCCTTTTGAGGTTTGCAGCTACAGTTGATCTTATCATGGATATGTTGTAATAAATTCTAACTGGAAGAATTTTGATATTCTCTGGATTGATTAATTTCGTCAGCGTTTTAACTAGATGTCCGATTTTCTTGGGTAGTAGTTACGTTTTGGTTTTTACATTATTTCTAACTTACTTCTTCCACCACCAATCTCTACATTTTCAAACTTCTCCTTTTTGACAAGTGACCAAACATCTCCAGTGTACCTGATGGAACTGATAACACCAGTCAAGTTGACGGTTACAGATTCCTTGGATTTATTCTTCACATTCATAACACACGTGATAGGCTTGCCAACACGGAGGTCTTCTTCCTTTGTGCTCAATTCTATAACAAAGAATTAGTTATTTGTTTAAATGCAACTAGCAAAACTAGAAAACAAATATTTATACAAGTTGATTCATATAAACGCACTTATTGATGTGCTGAGTGCGTAAATGTAAATTTTGAAAAAAAGTATATCTGTTTACATGTATTTTAGAGTTCATCCATTCAACTTTCTAACGGTTGGTCATTTTCCAATATTTGAGCGTTTGGTTCACAAAAAATATTATTTTACGAGACTGTGTTGGAGAATCAAAAATTTAAAACGCAATTATAAAACGTCCCTGCGATGAGCAAACATATTTGGTAAACAAGCGAGAAATGACGGAGCATGTTGAAGATGGCCCATTAATTAAAATCAAGAAACCACGTCATTCTATGCGATAGTTTAAATTTACATTACTATACAGTATATGGAGCTGGTTTAAACCGTTCAAGCTTGCGCACACTATAATAGTGTGGGAAATAAATTAGACAGCTCAACATTTTTTCCGTGCTTTTTAAATATTTTTTCTACTCCCTTTCGCATTAAACTATGAAACAACAGTAAAATTGTTTAAGAAGATTGGCATCTAAAAATGAGTGATTTTACTAAATTGTTTCGAAAAAGAAGAGTTGTGACATAACACTAATATATCACTATATGATATTATAATGAATTTTATTTTGAAATTATTGGGCGTAAAAGATGGATTTTGTTTTTTACATCATGATTGCACATAAAAATTAACATCGTCCACGCACATGAACAATTTGGATGAGAAATTGGTATATATGGGACAAGAGTTAATGTGATCATTAAAACATACCAAGAACTAAATCTTCGCCCTCCTCCTCAACATTCAAATGACCAGCCCAGTCTTTCGCCCCTTGACCAAAACTAAAGGCAGTTTCAAATGCTTTTCTTTCTTCCCTTGTCCCCTCGTCATATTTGTAAAGATGAGTGACATCTTCTCTCTGCGAACCGCCAACCATTTTAGTACTGATGTAGCTTCCCACTCTGTTTTTCAATTGTTTGGCAGTTTCTAAGATTTAATTAGGCGTAAATTAATTATTCTTTTCCAAAGGTAATAGTATGGTTTCGAGTGTAATTTACGAAAAATGCACAGGCGAAAAAAATTGCACCAGTCCAAAAGACGAGTGCAATGTGAAAACTTTGGAATACTGTGAAAAAATTATGCAAAATAAATCGACCTGATGTCAAAACATTTAAGTGCTAATGTCAGAAGTCAGACGTAAATCGTACAGGTGCTTGCCTCCATGTAGTTGCCATGTATTACCTTTTTTGGCAATGAAATACATTTTTTTTACTGTATTACAATATATGAAATTGCACCGCTCTTGGAGAATCAGAATTGGGTAATGTATATTATTAAACCATTAAAGCTGTCTCACACAAGTGTTTGTTTTTCTAAATTGCACGACAAGCTATATTATTACCTGCATGTATAATAATATACGTAAAGATATTACTCGACTGTGATTGGTTGATTTCAGTGCAGTTAATCCCATGCCAAACAGCAGTGCAATTTTCTGTAATCACAGTGCTATTTTTTGTAATCACAGTGCAATTTTCTGTAATCACAGTGCAAAAATCTGTATCAAACTTATCTGATTGGTGGAAAAACATTGTGATGATAAAATCAACCAATCATGTTAATGCAATTTAGTTTGAAAGAAGCAACGGTCACAGAACGCTTCAAAACAGAACAAACATGGCGTTGCGCTATACAAAGTAAAAGTTCCTTTCGCGTGGAAAATATGGCTTTTATCTTTATTTTTAAATGGAAAAGCATTTACCTTAAACAAGACTAACAAATAAAATTATACAGTCGAGTGGAATTTACAAGCTGTTAGCGTTGTATAATGTGATATAACAAAGCCAGGAAAACTTTGCCAGTAAAATGTTCGCTGTAAACGCGTAAGTTAAAACTACAATTGTCTCGAACATTTTTATGTAAATTATTAATAAGTAATAGCATGGTTTCTCGTGAAATTTGGATAAATATGCACTCGTGAGTTTTTCAAAGACCTCAAATAGCACTCGTCCTTCGGACTCGTGCTATTTTGTGGTCTAAGAAAAACTCACTCGTGCATGTTATATCCAAATAGTGCACTCGAAACCATGCTATTACCTATACAAATTGCACTCCACTTTGCCAATCAGAAATTTTTTCATGTATATTATTATAAACAGCAAACTTATGTACGTGGGAAAAAATAAAAACAATATCAAGAAAAGGAAAATATTAACATACTTTGTATAATATATTCATCATTTTTATCTTTTTTGACCACCCACGTCACAACATCTGCATTAACTTCAGAGAAAACGAAACCTGCATCAAACCCAGCATACACTTCCCCATCTTTTACTGCAGTCAGTGGAGCGGGACCCATTTGGTAGCGTTGAGAACTTTCCTCTTGAGGTGTCGCATCCACTGCCTGCCAACCATCGTATTTGTTCCCAGGAAGATCATCACGTTTTGTCCAGATGTCATTCCATACATGAAAATTCCTTGGAGATAAAATTTAAAATATTTACAGAGAAGTGTATGTTGCAATGCACGAAATTTCTTTTTCGTACTATATATCTTTGTAGATAATGGCTTGATTTCGCAATGTGCAATGTCAATGTGCATGAATAACATGAAATCTTTACACGCTTTTCGGTACGAATTTCTCCATCAATGACAAGTCACGAATGAAAACTTTGGGTCACAGATGGACCATAACGAGTTTAATCAGACAGGAGTTTGAAAGGGATAATTGTTGAACACAGTCTTCAAATCGCTTGACCACGGATACCGATAAAAAGACTGACAAATTACGTTGAAGGATTTTGTAGATCTTGACGTGTAACTATTTAAATTACGCGCAGGAGTGTTCATATTTTGCGAGAGCGCAGCACGAGCATTTTAGATAGGATAAAACACGACTACAACAGCTTTAAATGTCATGACTTAAATGTCATTATCATTGACACAACTAATTTAAAAATAGATGCCGTCTTATATAAAGAATATACTAATTATAGGATGGATTCTATATAAAGAATAGCTAGGCTAATGAAAATGAGTTTTATCTGGTATAAAGCCGGTTCACGTGACATATTATTGTTCACATGATTTAAGTACTAGTTAAAATATGGGCAGCTGTGCGAACCATTGTTATACCTGTATGCCCATAAAGATCAGTTGCGAATATTTTAACGTACTTGTAAAATGAATTTATTTGTTTACGTTATTAATATTCACTGCCTGTGGGTACAATCTCACACTCAGTCATTAACATGCATTTAAAATCTGAATATTTAGTATTGATATCTTCCTTATAAACATTCCTACTTCTGAATTAGTATTCATAACTTTCATAAACATCCCTCTAACATGACTTATTGATCTGTAATGCGGCTTACATGTCTGTATATGCGACCTAAATTGTTTGTAGCCTTATTAATTATTCATGAATTGCAAAAGGAGATTTCAAGTCTAAAATTCACAGTAACTATTTCCATCTTAGGCCCGTTTTATACGTCGAATTTTGGTCGCGTGATATATGATAAACCTCCTATAAGCTTCATTATCTATATTGTTTGAATTGTATTCGACGCGACCGAAATTCGGCGTATAAACCAGGCCTAAGGCCTGTTCTAAACGTCGCATTTTACATGTGCCGAATGCATTCAAAACAATAGATAATCAGTTGAAATGCCTCATTATACATTGTTTTGAATGTATTCAGCGCATGTAAAGTGCGACGTTTAGAAGAGGCTTAAAAAAGCCTGCATGCAACATTAGTTCAATCGAGTAAGATGCCCACAAATTCTGATTTTAACAAACAGTCGTTGCAATATATGTAGCGTTCAGAATCGAAAGAATGTAACAGAAAGAATCGCATGGGCAGCTTTTATTTTCGAGGTGCGTTTTGATTCATAATGGACGCCGCCATTCTGTTATTCTATTACTCACCAAATACTATCACTGTTAAGATCTTCAACGCTTTCCCCTTCTTCATCAATAAATTTATCAATAGTCATTGTGTTGTCTGTGTCGTGTGCGCTATCGTAGGTAGTCACACTTCTGGCTGGAATACCAATCGCTCTGAGAGCTGTCGTCAAAACACCAGAAAATACCCAACATTGACCATATTTAACAGGCTCCTTTTTGTCGTAATATTCTTGAAGTATTTTCACACTGCCATTCCAAAACGTTGGTGAGTTTCCATCTTCATACTTTCCCGACCAATTGCCCACTAATACACCATCATCGTCTTGCGAATTAATCTAATCACGTGTATAATGCAAGTTTCAAAATTAATGAGATACATGTCTATACAAAAAAAATTGTGTTGGTCACTGTTGAGCACTATTCAGTCTACCATAAGGCATTTGTTATATGCACCAAAAATTTCTATTCATTAACATTTAAAGGACACTATAGCCACAACGTTAATGATTTGGTTTTAGGTAGGTTAAAGGGATATGGCAATAAAGATTAACTTTGTCTTATTTGAAAGAACTTTTAAAGTTAGGCTATATATGAAGACCTTTACATCGTTTTCGTACCTTGCTTGGTGTTTGAAATATTTTGACCAAAAACAGTGTGCAGTCCGCCATCTTGGTATTACAATTGACCTAATTAACTGAGTTTTTGATGACGTCACAAGCTAACCTTGTTAAAACTTCTTCATGCGGGACTAAATCTATTCGAAAAGTTTCTTAAAGTGTTGTGAGTTAATTGAGTTATACTAAAAAGACTTCGGAAAATCGAGTTTCATATTGATAATGACATGTGGTTTTACCCTACTTGTGACGTATGCATATCAAATGCATATCCAAGATGGCGGAATGTACGCTGCTTTGATCAAAATAAGTGATTTATTTCGAAAACCAAGAAAGATACGAAAATTTATATATCATTTTAAATTTTCTTTCAAATAAGACAAACTTAATTTATATTGCCATATGCATTCTGTCAACTAATCAGCATATTATATTATAATTATTGCTGGATCCGATGTGTAATATATATATATATATATATATTACACATATTTTCTCATATATACTATACATTAATTGATATTAGTGGAATAATCTAAGCATTAATCAAGACTTGTGATATCATACTTTGGCAAAATATAATCTTACCATGGCGGAAAGAATTCTGGACACCCACACAGCACTGCTTCTCATATAAAGAGATTTGAGAGGTTTTTTCTTAATTCGTCGATCATTTTCTAACAGATACAGCACGCAGTCCAGGATATTTGGCTCAAACTATAATAGAATAAGTATCGTGTATAATGTTCGCTAGATATCTCCTTATAGAATTATAATTTGGGTTGTATGTTCCTCTCTTCCTTGTTTTTCGCTTCTCTTGCTTTTCTCCCGAGGGAAACTTTATTCCCATCGAGGGTGTAAATTAACTGCTCACAAATGACAAATTGCGCTATACGAAAAGGCAACCAACCTTTTCACCGGGGAAATTTGTAAGTTAACTTTAAACGCCGATGTCATTTGTCAGCAACATATTAGAAAATATGTATAGATGAACATTGAAATTGTGGCTCAAAATCGGTATGGTCTACAATTTTTGAAAATAATTGAAGGCCAGAAGAAATTGACAATATAAATTGCAATCGTTATTGTCTGCAGTGGTATGTCTGCAAAGATCCGAAACATCAAACACTGACGTCGGCGATTTGAAATGGAAATATTATTTTTAACTTCATTTTCAATAAATTAATTATATTTTACAAACACTTTCAAACACGAGTGCTCCCAAATCTTACTGTCAGATTTTTCCAGTGTCTAAATAAAATAGTCATGCAGAAATGATAAAACTCGAATCTAAACATCTAAACAAATCGATTAGTTAAGGCACGCGATTTAAAAATCAAAGCAACCATTTATATAACATATAATTGCTTTACAGACAGCTCCAAACAAGGCTAATTGTATAGTTCTCGTATACAGTGAAAGCAGTTCATTGTAATATATTAAACAGGTATCGAGAATACAGGTATATACCGTTAACATTTGCAAGCACCCATGAACTATGAACGTTCTTCCATGCCGGTTTGGGTAAATATCAAGATTTTCGGCATCTCATGCGATAGAGCTAAATGTTGGAGGATATTTGTTGATGGAAATCTCCGGCGTAAATGTTATACCGTTTTTTTTTCATGTTTGGCATGTTTACGTTTTTTGCACGTTTGGCGTTTATACATGTGGGATCCAGTCTGTATTGTTTGATAGATATAAAAGCGAGGTTTTAAGATCAAATGAAGATGTTTAATTGGCTACCGAAATAAGGGCGGTATGACGCCTTCGCTTGTACAGACATTACTATACTCAGTGTAAAATTGCCGAAGAAAAATGCAATATATAAAACAATATGGGCGGGACATGTAAGAGGGTGCAGTATGAAACGTATATGCTTGATGTTGGCAATGCACGGTGTTTAGAAATAGTATAGTATTTTGTTTAGCATACTTGACCGAAGTTCCAACGGGCCGGATTTGGACCTCTCAGTCTCCGCGACCAGCCTGCATAAACCACACCATCATCGTTGAGAACATATTCATTTCTCAAATCTTCCTCAGCAAGATAAACTTCATCATCTGCATACAAAGAAATACCAAAACATAACTCACAAACAACATAGGAAAGAAAATGGGTAATTTTTGCTGACACACGTGATGCTGTAATGTTGCGGATGGAATTTCATGAGTGGATAAAAATACTTCCAACTATTATCGATCTTTGTTATTTATTTAAAAATGGTGAAATCGTCCTAACATTCAAAAACTGAGCAAATATGAGTTTTTACATCATATTGAAAGATGTGACGTCATAACGTTGAAAATGAAAAAAATCATAGTCAACGTTATGACTTCAAGCTGTGGCAATAAAAATACAAAATGTGGAAACACGACAAAACAATATGGCAACGCGTGGTTTAAAGAGACAACTTCTAAAATATAAAGGAGAAATATTAACGAAACAGCCATGCAAGAAAGGTCTTACAACGTCTTAATGTACTTATGAAAGAAGAAAGAAAATATTTTCTTCTAATGGGAAAAAGAACTAGTCATTATATTTCCCACAGGAGCAAATGTCTTTTTAATCTTTCAAATAAATACTAAAACAATTATTGATTTCGGTTTTCGCAAGATATGAAAATGATGAAGCTGGACATTTTTGTTATCAACCGAAGCCGAAGGCTGGGTTGATAATGGCTGAAGGCTAAATAAATTATTATTTGATAATGTTGGTAATTTTGCATGCATGCATGCATGCATGTATTAATTGCTTGTTTTGGCAAGAAAAACACTTGGTTCGATGGCTCTGTTTATTCTGATAAAAACATATGGCAAGTGGCAACTGACAATGTGTGCAAACTACTTGCATGCATGTGGAAACTGAGAAAAATGCAGTAAAGTATGTACAGTACTGAATCCGCGATTACGAAAATGTCAGATTGCACATGCATGGGAAAATATCTTTTCACATGTTACTGCATGTAAGTATTCCAACTCCACAAAATAAATAATAATTTCACATGCGAATTAATTTCCACTTATAAACCTCTAATTTTACTGGTAAAATTCTAAATTTCATAATATGAAATGAGCGCCTTCACGTGCGAAACGTTCCAACTCCACATACATATATTTACATTTGAAATAAGATATGAATCTTCCGTAAAGAGAAATATACCTTACCAAGAAAATTTGGAGGTATAAGTCCCTGAAATTGAGAAATTTCCTTTTCCATATTTTGTCAAGTTAAGATTAATTTTACAGAAGCTTAACTGTAAACGCTGTGTATATACAAGATTTTGGGCAACTCACTTGATATAACTATAATTGTTGAAGGGATTTGCAGATGGAAATTCGAGTGAAATTGTTATACATTTATTAAACCTAACCAGGAGCAGATGCAAAAAATGATCGGCCCTCTGTCAGGAATCCCTCCTGCGGCCCCGCAATTCTGGTGCAGCGCTCTAACCAACTGAGCTACAGAGAGACATTTGTCGAGCTCTAGCCAAACGTTCATGTATGTTAGGACGGGAAACTAAAGTCTAATTTGGAGTGGTCCATGTTGATCTTGGGTGAAAGAGTTTATGAAATTTTTACCTTTGTTCCAAGCATTAAACAAAACGATGATTTGTCCAGACTGTTTTAATGGATGAGTGGAATTTTTAGGAAGAACAACTTCTATTGTGTATCTAGAAATTTTAATGAAAGCAGTTAAACATAATTCCTACTGCAGTACATTTAAATAATATCTGCAGATGACAACAACGTCAAGTGGTCATGGCTTTGATGTGAGTCCCTGCATACACATACACGCTGAAATCGAGTTGATGTTTCCAAAAGAAGTATATAATTGTTGGCATGAAAAGTCACAAATTGGTTGAGAGGATAACACTAAATTAAGCCCGGTAAAGACGAGCATGCAAGTTTTCCTTTTACTTTCTGATCTCGTCTGTACGGTCAGCATGTTTTCCTTGAGAAGTTTCCCTTTATAAGTTTTGTTGGGAATGTTGTTAAATAAACCTTTATCTTACGTCAACGTCGCTATTTGTTTGCCAAAACCATAGAAGTATTCGTTGTGCACTTGTCGAAATTTCCTAGCTAGGCGGGCACGAAACAAATTTTCCTTGGCCAAAAGCTAGCATGACCTGACCAAAACCAAGCAAAATTGCAAAAAAGCTCGAGTAATTTTTTGCAGCAAACGCTCGACAAGAAAAATTACCCGTCTGTATGGGACTAATTCAATGCAACAAATTAAGGGGAGCAAAAGTTGACCACCCACCTTGATTGCAAAATTTACTATTTTCAAAATTTTTTATATTTTCCATAATTTAAGAACTCAAGCAATCCATATATAGCAAAAATTACATTTCATGAACAGAATTGTGGAATTGAGAGCAATTTCAAAAATGTCTTACTTTTTTTTATACACCCTGTATATTATACCAACAAACAGTATGAACACTATAAACTCCGTAATTATGACATACCTTCCGACAGCAGCGAGAACAGGAATCTGTATTTGAAAATTTCGTGTCATTTCATTACCATCCTTTTTCACAATTTTTGTGTCCCACGAGTGCGTTTTCATTCCTCGTTTTGTAGCTGAATTAAATAGGATTTATATACAGTTGTCAGATTTTGACAACTCAATATTTACGCGGCTAATACAACGCGGCTAAATGATTAATATATATAAAAACAAGCATATACATGTATACTACTCCATATCATATACGTTTTCTACTTATGTTATTAGAACGTACGGTTTCGTCTGGTTTCGACTTTTTAAATGCAAACGCAATCGCGCGTGAAATAAATAATAGACATTTAAATTCTTCAAAGAAGTGCAATACATGTAGCTCTGTTTTGAGACTTTGTTGTTTCCGACCGCTTGAGATTTCACCCCGGACTGGCCATGTAATCGGAAATTCAACACCGTTTGAGAACTGTCGATGTATAAGTCCGCGCCCTTACACGCGTTTTCAAAATTACGCGACCAAGCCGAAAATAACTTGAGTTAACATGCCGGTCAGTTTTATGTCACACGGTCAAGCAGGACAAGGCATTTTTTAATACACGGATGGATTGGTAGGCAAGAAAATGTGTTGGCGAGCATACTTTTGATTTCCTTTAAATGTGTTCTCAGTATGCAAGAAATGCCATTTCAGATTATTAAAAAAAATAAAAAAGGTGTCATGAAGATTAAATTGGTGTCAGATAAAGATTAGATGAGGGTTATATTAAGATTATGTTAGGGTTCAACGTGTGTCGCGAATTGATCGTATTGATAATTTCGGACGTGTTTAACAATTTATTCGTATCGTAAATTCAAAGGTGGAGTTCATGCTGAAAACTGACATTTGAACAAAGATTATTTTCGAGTAGGTCGCATAATTTTATTACGGATGTAATCGTATTAGTTTATCACATGAATGCTTTTGTATTCACCAGTTATACAGCAACAAGTGTTTTTCCCGACCCACGCTACTTTTTAAGCCGGGACCGTGCACAAATTAACATAAACTCAAACAAAAACATGACAGAATGATTTCTGTTTAGTTTCCAGACCTTCATATCTTGATAGACTATGCCCTAACCAACTGAGCAACTGAGTTAAGGCCGACGCACACCGATCGGACGCGATTCGAAAACGGGACGCGATTTTTCAATTTTCATTGACCGATAACTTTGATCCTATTTTCCAAATATTTAGATGCTCTATAATATTATACATTTTGAGTTAGTTGGTCTACATAGCATTTAAAATTTGCTTTCATTGGCCGTTTTATTAACCTTCAAGAACGGAAAAATTGCGCCGCGTTGTCTAGAATCGCCTCCGCGGTGTCAAGCGAAATTCCTGACCTCTGCGAAATACCTGACCAAGCGTGAGGGGCCAGAAATTTCGCGCATACGTGCAGGCGCAATTAACATACAGTATATATATGACGCTTGCTAAATTCTAAGTCGGACGAAACTGTTTTTTAGAGTTTAGATAAATAATGATGATGTTAATTTCTAATACTTCGTTAAATATTTCAAATCGACATCGCTAAGTTTCAATTTACAAACACTTTGAATTTCAAAGCGGATTGTGTCGTCGTGGTAGCGAAATACACGACGTTTGCTACTGTAAATACGGCTGAGACGTTCGAAACGATTTTCAAGTCCATATACGATATTACCAATAGTACCAAATAGTACCATGCAGGTGTGTCTCGGCCTTTACAGTTATCGAGTTCTAACCACAAGTTCATGTGTAAATGCTAAAGTGATGCTAATATGTATTCATACGATATGTTAATAAACGTACACTTAGATATAGTCTAAAGACCAGGGATGCGGGAAATTTCTCGGGAAATTCCGAGGTTGCGTTTTTTTTTATACACCCTGTATATCAATTCAAAAGTGCCCTTTCACGAAAATCTGCACCCCTTGCCTTCACATCGTTCCGGCGTCCCTGCTAAAGACAATGCATTTCTAAAGTTTTATACAGGGTGTATAAAAAAACCCTGAATCCTTTCAAATTCAAATTAGCTATAACATATTGTAGTAATTTGACAGCTCTAATTGCCTTGAATTAATGGTTGGGTAAGAACACAAGGAATACGGTATTTCTTTTAAATTTTCTAATTTTTATTTCTTTGAGTTTTGTCCCATGAGTACAAGACCTAGTGTTCTTATCCAACCATTAATTTAAAGCAATTAGAGCTGTCAAATTACTACAATACGTTATAGCTAATTTGAATTTGAAAGGGTTCAGTTTTTTTATACACACTGTAGTTTGCACAATTTAAAATTTGCATAACATGACCAAAAATCCCGCAAAATTGACTAAACCGTCCATACGATTTGGCTCTAAAAACCGTTTTCATAGTACGTTATCTAATTAACGTTACTCAGTAAACAGTATGATTACAGTAGTGTTATATATAGACTAGTTACAGTACAGTGTGAAACTTACCCATACTAAATTGAAGAACAGGCTCTTGAATATCTTGAGGAGCAACATCATTAAATATGAGCCCTAAATCAAACGTCGCACCACGACGTAGTACTAAGACGTCGTTCTCATATTCATTTGTATGATGTCTTGTGGTGTTTTCGTTTCGATTGTAGTCGAACTCTACTGTAACCTCATCCTTACCTAACAAAATATCAAATATGATTTAAACTAAGGTTTTAAGCGACCGCACAATCTGACTGTTGCAGTTTCATGCAGACACAGCGGGACCGTACAAAACACTCTTTATATTCAGCCCTCATGCACTAGTTAAAGGAACATAGATATCATATATATCCTAGATAGCGCATCTCTTCAAGTAAAATTGAAGCCAAGAATATTCCAGCGGTTACCCCCATTTGCATGGACGTACGGGAAGGAAAAAATTAGGGGGGCGGAAAGAAATTTACCCGACTTTTTCGGATTGTGCCCGCGTTGTCAAAAACATTTTTCTGGAGAAACTTTCCAAAATTGTTGTCGACGGGGGAGGGGGGTGGGGGGAGGAGCGATTACGAAAAATTCCTATTAGAAAGCATATTTCCCACAACTATTGACAGAATTTCCCACAAAATATATTAACAGTATTTGTCCCATTTATTTTTATAATAAGCCAATATTGCCCGACTGTGAAGCGAATATTGCCCGACTGGCCTTGTTTGCCCAATAACTTTCATCATTTGAACAGTTTGAAAATGTATTTGGAATAGGTTTAACTTAATGTTTAAGTCCCCTGTTTAAGAAATAGAAAATATACGAGTCTTCTCATTTCATGGGAATATCCCGAGTCTGCAATCACGGCTTCAATTTTTGAATTGCAGAATAATTAGATGTACTATCTAGTGTATATAAGATATCTATGGCACGGAAGCACGTAAACGAAGGAACATCCTCATTAGTTAACATGCAACGAAGCACGTAAAGGAAGGTATTCGAAAATTTACAATCTCCACCTGCGTCTTGTTTTGAATCATATATTGTTTCTCAAGATGTCTTGTCTTTTTGAAATTTGTTTTTTACTGAACGTTTTTTTTCAGTCATGTAAATTTGCCATATAATAATATGTGCAAATGAAATCATATATTCATATTGTTTGTTAAAATTAAACGACAAATAGACCTTCTTATAATGACGTCAAACGCAGACAATGACAATGCATAAATTGTTTTTTCGCGTCATTATAAGAAAGGTTTATTGGCCACACTCTATATAGATATATAGCAAACGCTTCGATCGCCTATAAGCAGGGCCGCCGAGAGGTTGGCGGGGGCCCGGGACAAATTGTTTTTAGGGGCCTATATCTAAACAAATTTTCCCGGAAAAATTATTTTCCGGACAACAACCTCCCCCCAACCCCCC